AAATTTCGTACGATCCCATCCAAATTATAATCATGATTCAATAGTATCTCAAGAAATTAATTATGATCTTATAAAAATGATAGAAAAGATACAAAAAGGTCAAATTAAGATACCTGAATTCTTGGGAGATTTTAAGATTAATTGATAATATCAAACTACAGAAATATTATTAAACAATGAATTAACTGACCAAAGACAGGACAAAGTAATATTAAAATTATTATTAACAGGATTCCTAAAATGCCTCTAATAAAAATTTTATAATGCATTTAATTTGCAATTGTTCTTATTTCGAGATAAAATTTTACAAAGGCTAATATTAAACTTCTAACGAAGTTGCGTTTTTATTTCTTGCATCTAGATATGATAATGTTATATTCAAAAGCAAAAAATAAAATATAACTTTCTTAGTAGAGACTCAATATTAATATTTACTAGGGTTCCGTGTGGTCGGGCTGGGTTGGATATTTCGAAATCCAGATTCAAATCCAAGCCCAGCCCATAACCGCATAGTACAATCCATGAATCTAAATTGCATAAACTGTAAAAAGCTTATTTAGACGAGACCAACTTGATGCAGTGTTTTACATTATCCCCAGCATCCACCCTCTTTCTCATAGTAAAAAAATTTAGATAAATATATATAGGGCTACGGGCTATTTCGGAAAATTTTATGGTCACGGAATAATTCGGAAAAATTTTTTTTTTGAAAGAACATTTTTTTAAAATTTTACTATTTAAACCACATATTCTCCTCCTCTTCTTCCGGAGGGAAGAGGGAAGTAATGTAAAACACAGAATTTAGTTGGTCTCGCCTTATTAAAGTAAGCTCGAGTTCGTGATTTTGGTTCAAAATGATAAAAATAACTATGACGGATCTATAATTTTGGCCAATCAGATTAAATATAGATTATCCATGGGCTTTTGGATCTGGATCCAATCGTACTGGATTCAAAGTTTTGAGACCAAGCTCGGCTCGTGTGGTACCAATCCATGGATGCTTCATGGATAGTCTAGTCTATGCAGAACCCTATCATTTACTGTATATTCGTTACCTTTCATAAAATAAATTGCAATAAACCGCTGTTACTGCTGTAACTTTCTGCGCCCGATATTTACATATTTTTAATCCTTTGTTATTATTCCCTTATTATTATAGATATCTTTTCTTATAATGTATTATTATCATATTATTATAATTACCCCGTATAACTGATTGCCATAGTCTTTATTTATTGTCTTACTGATGATTAACGGATTCCACTATTCCTATTTTGCGGGTGAGTTAAAGCGGAGAGAGGTTTTTGATGCAGTTATGGCTAACGGGTTATATAGATATCAAGAATTTAACTTATGCAGTATGTAGGTCATTGAATTCGCTCCGCTTTAACTGACCACCTTTACCTTCATATTTTTTCAACACATCAACACAATCTGTATATATTCTACAATCATTACCACCTGATACACGAACTTTAATTATTCAAGCTTATGCATTAGTATTTCAATTCATCTTTGAGTTAATTGTCTATATAGTACGTTATTTTTATTTCCATCTATGTTTATAGGAAATAGTAAACCTATACATAAATAGAGTCAAGAAAAATCGTGACTTCTATATTAATAATTTATTATTTTACAAAATATTAATAGATATGAAAAAATAAACTGAATAATATTTCATATAGCAGGCTGTGTATAGGGTTCCACATGGACCGGGCTGTGCTAGATATTTCAAATTCAAGCTTCAGCCCATCAAAAATATGTACTTACTGCACACACCTTTTAGATTTCATATCGGCCGATTTGTTTTGACCCCAAAATCGACCAATCATGATCGAGGATTATCAAAAAAATTTCTATGAAAATTTATTGCAGAGCAAATTTTTACAAAAATGGTCTTTTAACTAGCCTTGCATTTATAATTAAGTATATAGAGATTTACGAAATTTATGTATTTAGTTATAAGCCAAAAGTAAGTTAAAAAGACTGCTTTTTTGAAAATTAGCTTTTGAATTTACCCTTGTTAGTTACCAACCCATCAAACAATGCCCAACCCATCCTAAGACACCTGAATATTTCAACAAAAGGTAAAAATGCTTCTTTCTACAACTTAGCATAGCTCTTTTATTGGTTTTTATTAGGTTTTAACTAGCTTAGACCTTAAAAAAGCCCTTTTGTTAGTTGTATTAAGTGCTTTGTTTGTTACTTTTTAATATCACTTAGAAGCAAATTGTTTTATAACTATTAAAAAAATTTTTAATATTAAAAAAAGAAAAGAAAGATGAATATACAAAACACATTAAAAATTAATCTATAATAAAACACTATGAAAAAAATAATAATAAATATAGATATCTTGTAAAATAACATGTTACTAAAAAATACAATTTTTTAGCATAATTTATTTGATATTATATTGCTTAATAACAATATATAAAAAATAAATTTACTATCTTTATCCATAGGATATAATACCTGATATAATAATTATATAGAGCCCTATATATATTAAGGTTAGAGTTAGATTTAGACATATGTGTGGTTATATGCAAAATTAGGTGCTGAACATTTTACTTAAGATAACTACATATAGTTACCTTAGTAAAATTTTGAGATATTAAGGATTTTTGATTTTTTTCTTATCCCGGGTATCCACTAGATACAAATTGTAATTCTCTATCAAAAAAATACTAGCTAAAAAATATAAAGCATGGTTAAAGCTTGAGTAACAATCCAATCACGATATAAAAAGGAAAGCTATGAGTATAATAATTACACAATATAATTATTAGCCAATAATAAATAACAATTTGGTATAATACAACACAGTTAAAAATAAACATTTCTTTTATCAAAAATAACATTTCTCAAAAGTTTGTATCCATCAATCGACAAAAATTGCACACCTGATCATTATTGTTATTTTAGAAAATCAATGAACAAAAATAGTTAATACGCATGAACTACGAATAAAACACCAACAATCAATCAAATCAGCTAAAATGTACAAGCTCTAAATTAGATTATATAGATAGATAATAAGATATTTTATTACGCAAAAAGACGTAACAAAGTAACATATTAAACTTTTTATTCGTGTAACCTTATAATAGTCTATGCAAAGTTTATAGCCGTAACGCATACTTTAATTAGACTTATATTGTTATACTACATGTATATAGCTTATTTGTAGTTTAATAGTCTATATAAAGAGGGACATATAGAATTCTGGTTAGAGAGATGGGCATTTTTAGGCTTTAGTTTGGGAGTTAGAGATTTGGATATTTGTACTTTGGAAAGGGTTCTTAGTATACCGGGTATACTTGTTGGAATATAATATTTGTTACTGTTTGTGTCTGGGACACGATAAAGAGTTATTGGTTTAGTATTTTATGGTGCCTTGTGTGTTTTAATAAATAATTGGTTTCTCATATTAATGCTTACGATCCTAAGCTAAATTGGCTCAGTCGATATAAAGTCTCTCCCTGGTCGCAACACTATGCGCGGATTGTCATATAAAACCCGTACGATAATTCGTACTAGTTCATATATAAACCACGTGCATTGGCCACATGGTTTAAATATGAACCCGTGTATAATTGGTTACTGTACACCCGGATAATTTTCCAAATATACAGTATAATTATGGGAAGTTTGTTTAGTACTTAACGAAGTAAGAATAATATTTTAGTTTTATATTATTCGTAATAAGTATTCAAATTTATAGGTTTTTACATAATTTTATGTTAAATTGTTAAAATATATCAACGTTAATAAGAATGTCATATTCAATTTTGCAGATATTTTATTCTGAAAATATGTTGTCAATTTAAAAATCAAAAAAAAATATGGATTAAGCTTTTGTTTAAAAAAAAAAGAAACTTAAGTCCATCCCTCTTGACATGCTTCATGCCCCCAGATATAATAAAATTAAAATCAAATTTGATCAACTACTCTATTCACCATGACAAAACTTTCTGAATCAGGGTCGGATTTATTAGTTTCTGAAGTATCTCCAAATTTATCGGTTGTATCGGCCTTGGAAGGACCATCGTCAATTTTGTCCGCCTTGAAACCGTCAGCATCATTAGTTTTGGATGCGTTATCAGGCTTATCAGCTTTATTTGCATTAAAAGAATCATCAGTTTGGTCAGTTTTGGAAGAAACACCAGTCTCATGAGTTCTAGAGGAAGAATCGTCAGCTTTATTTATATTAGAAGAATCATCGGGCTTATTAATTTTTGCAGAATCACCAGTCTCATGAATTTTAGAAGCAGAATCACCAGCTTTATTTATATGAGAAGAATCATCAGTTTTGTTGGTTTTGAAAGAATCACCAGTCTCGTGAGTTTTAGAGGAAGAATCAACAGCTTTGTCGGTTTTGGTGGAATCACCAACCTCATGAATTTTAGAGGAGGAACCGTCGACTTCATTTAGATTAGAAGAATCATCAACCTCATTAGTTGTAGAAGAAGAATCATCAGCCTCATGAGTTTTAGAGGAAGAATCACCAGCCTCATGAGTTTTAGAGGAAGAATTGTCAGTTTTATTTGTATTAGAAGAGTTATCGCTTTTGTCAGTTTTGGAAGAATCATCAGCCTCATGAGTTTTAGAGGAAGAATTGTCAGCTTCATTTGTATTAGAAGAATCATTAACTTGAGACGAATCATCAGTCTCAGGAGTTTTAGAAGAATCATCAATCTCATGAGTTTTAGAGGAAGAATTGTCAGCATTATTTGTATTAGAAGAATCATTAATTTGGGACGAATTATCAGTTTCAGGAGTTTTAGAAAAATCATCAGTCTCATGAGTTTTAGAAGAATCGTCAGCTTTATT